ATTGATTAAAATGCTCAAGCATCACCAACAAGTCGATATCTACAATTAAATACCCTAAGTACATCAAATGACCTAAGATATTGATCAATATCCATATATGGCTCATAAGTTGGCTACAAGCCTCCAACAACTCAAGTTGCCAAATAAATTTACATGCTAGACCATTCAACTTCATTCTTATATTTTAATACCCATTTTAAGTCATTAATGATACTACATCAATTGTCCAATGCCACCAAGTTACTATTCATCGTCTTCCACAATTAACACTTGCAAAATATATAATTCAGATGATTACTTAGCTGATCACTTTTAACTTTTGCTAACAAATAATTCCATAGGTTCATTGTATTCATCAATTTCATCGCTAAGATTACTATTCATCTTCTCTCTTATTTTTTCAAAAGTACTATTCATGTCATGAACTAGAGTTTTATAATCCAATCTTTCAACCATTAAAACTTGTAACAAATACTTCAAATACTTCTAACTACTCATAATAAACGAGTTTGAAGCATTGGAATTACCTCTAGTAGATCAATCTTGAAAAATCACAACTTTAGTGATTTTTGTGTTCTTGAGGATTTGATTATGAAATCTAGTATTTGGATAAAATAATGATGTTAGAAATCATGTATATTGAGTAAGAATCAATCCAAAACATAACTAACAACTTATCTTAGTTGATTGGACTTGATTTGAGTTTAAAATCGCCTCTTCACCTCAAGAACCCTAACCCTCAATACTCAAAATACTCTCTTCCCCTGATTTTGTATTTATAAGCCCAAATTTCTAGATTTCGGATGCGACCCCGGATGCTTCGCATCCCCAGTTCACTCCTCTTCGAAGCCCGGATGTAGACCCAGAGCTATGGCAGTACTTCACTGCCAGCTTTTGGTAATTTGATCATAACTTCTTGTATGAGTGTCCAAATGACGAACGGCTTGAAGCGTTAGAAACTAGACTCGAAGATCTTTCATTTGATAAGTCTTCCATTACATAACTCATATATATATCCTCTTCACTTATAATATGCTTCGTACACTTATTATCATATCTAATTAATACCCATCATATTAATAGTCCTCGTTTATACACAAAATAGTATAATTAACACACATCAACTTTCTTAATAGCGCTTAAGTACTTCAAATTTTTCAGGGGTGCTACAAACATAATGTTTGAATTATGCCATAATAATTACTGACATAACAAATAGTTGATCAAAGAATTTACTTACCACTATAAAAATATAATGGGAGTAACTATTTAAAAAATATATTATATATGTAATATGAGTAATATTTGGGACCCTACATTTTTGGGGGGCTAAAACGTTGGCTTTAGCTGCCTTGGGATTAAGCCGCCTCCGTAGGTGATTTGCTCAAATAGGATCATTCAGTGAATTTTGACCCCCAACAAAAGTTTTGAGAAAATAGTGTCTGATTAGAATACTGGGGAGGGTTCTTAGCAATCGTCATAATTGTACCATATGAAAACTCTGGTGATTGCCATATTTTATGATAAATCTTGGTGATCACTATATAAGAAATTCTAGCAATTGTCATGTCTTGTGGTTAATTTTGGTGATTACTATGAAAAAGTTTAGCGCTTGCCAAGAGCGCTTCTCAAAATTCTGAGATTTTTCCAAGACTTTTCTTATCGCGATCAAAATTTAAATGCTGACACCGAATCCCATTTGTGAAAATCACCCCTAAATTATTCACATACCCAAGTGGTATATGTATGACATGCATGTTTAAATAAATCTTTATTTATTCATCATCGTTCATAAATATTACCATCACTTTAATCTATTGAGTACTTAATTATGCAAAATTAATTGAGAAAATGACCCTCTATAGCCCCTAAAAATTTTATTAGCACATATTTTTTCCCATTGGCCTGAAATAGCCTTTAGGTCCAATTTATTGACAAATTATAGCCACTATTCCCGATGCACTTCTACCCTTTTCAGTCGCCTACTCCTCCATCTCTCTCTCTCTCTCTCTATCTCTCTTTCTCTTCTCATCTTCTCCCTTCTTCAATTTACCAGTGACTTCCATCTTTCCCTCTTTTCTTATCTTTTTCCTTCTTCACTCCCTCCTTTTTTTTTCTTTTTTTTTTCTTCTTCTATAGCAACACCAACATACATTTTTTTTAAACTTCACTTTTTTTCTTTGAGATCTCCTCCTCCTTTACTTAGATACAAAAATATCTACCTTCTTTGAGAAATTTCTGGCAAAAGTCTGGTTGTGGTTGCCGTTTTCTTCGCTTTCTGTCCACTTTCAGATATAATATTGCATGATATTTTTTCGGATGAATTTTGCAAGAAGATGAAAAATGGAGAAAATAAAATAGCCACGGCCGGAGAAAAGCTTTTTTTCGGCCAAGTTCACTGTCCTCCATTACCGTCAATACTCCTTTATTTATACATTGTGTAATCAATGTATAATAATGGTATAATATGGTGTATAATCAGTGTGTATATATTTTACACTAATGATACATTTATTATACATCTATCATACAAAAGTGGGCGTGACAGATTACAATCGCTACATTGAGTGTTGAGAATATTGTATATAATGTGTATATTATGTATGCACATTTATATGAAAGGTGTATCTACACTTATATAATACACATACATTTTTTATACAAATTCAATGTTGATATAATTTTGTATATATATATATATATATATATAATACACGTATTATACAAAACTGGGCGTGAAAGATTAGAGTGGCTACATTGAGTGTTGAGAATATTGTATATAATGTGTATATATTATGTATGCACATTTATATGAAAGGTATATCTACACTTATATAATACATTTATATTTTTTTTATACAAATTCAATGTTCATATAATTTTATATATAAAGTATATAATAGTATATAATGTATATATGTCGTGCACATAGAATTTATAATTGTATATAAAGTAAATAATTAATATATCTTCCGTATATAAAGTGTATATTTCTTCTCTCATAAATACTTAATCTTTCTTTCTTTTTCTCTTTTAGATCTTTTAAGTTCAATTTGTCTGTTTATACTTTTGTTTGTTTTTTCTTCTTCTCACTCTTTTTTCCCCTCTTTTAGTCCTTAATTTTTTAGGTTTGGTGGTGGAATTGGAGTGGATGAGGCCGGTCCAGGAGTGCGTGAGTCTACTTTTTGATGATCTATCATTTTTGGGATATGGGTAGGGCGGGGCAATGGCAGCAGTGCGTGGAGGTGGTAGTGGTGCCATGGCGGTAGCGGCGGCGGTGCAATAGCGGCAGAGCAATGGTGAAGCTTTTTTGTGTGGATGTCTGATAGATGATGAAAAAAATAGGTAGATGCGGTGGGATTTGTGAAATTTGAGCTGATCATTCTAATATTTTTTAGGCTACTAAATATATCTAAAATTTTATGGCTACCAAATAATATAAGTTTGCAGCGAGTGACTACAAATGAAATTTGCTCAAATTAATTCGATTTAATACACACAGGCCTTTACGTCATCCATCTTAGGCTCTTAGCATTCTGTGGAAGTCTCAAAAATCGGCGGCCCAAATTACGAGGAAGGTCATCTTCTCTTCGGCCCAGCACATTTTTTTGGCCGAAGCTGAAAAGTTTTTGTAACTTCGAAATAATAGTTTAATCGGACTGGATTAGAAGGAAGAAACCATGTCTCAAGATTGAAACATATTTATGCAAAAATAAGTTTATATGTATGGATTATATTTTAGGCATGAAACTGCTCTTGATTGATTCCATTTGTTAGACAGAAATATTTTAAAAAGCAGAAGCCAGAATTTTTTTTTTTTTTTTTTTTTTTGCAATGTTTTTTAAGCAAATGCTTTTGATTACAACAAAATATTTTTCACATCAAAAAGGAAAAAATACATTTATACACTTATAATATGGATGAAAGTTATTTCCTTACAACTCTTAGTTTTTAACATTATATTACTCAGTTACGTTATTATTTACACATTATTATTGATCCTTCAAAAAATATATTAAAATACCATTTAATTAATTTTTAATATGTATTTTTTTCGAAAAAAAAAACTTCACTCTAATCCCAAGATTTATTTTTTTAATTTAAAAGGTTGTATCAAACATGCTCTTGAGTTGTCGTGAATGCACGGGCCCATGAAAGCACAACACGATTATCTGGTACCTAGTCGTGCTCAGCACGAGTACTTAGAATCTTAGCACAAGTTTTTGTAACCTCAATACATTATTATGGGTATCTGTTACATATCCGAGCTCAGTACAAGAACTTGAAACTTCAGTCTGAATAGTACTTGAAACCTCAGCGCGAGTATTCGATACCTACCCTAAGCTCAGTAAGAGTGGCCTATGCAGATTTTCATTAGTTCGAATTATACGTATTTCAAACTCATTAATATGTCAAATTCTCTAAGTATATAACATCAACAACGTGGCTTTGAGTTTGGTGAGTTTAGTTAATCTTTATCCAACACAATCAAACAAAATTGAGCAAATTGTGTCATAACCCTCAGGCTTCAACCTATGGACTATGAGTCAGTGGCGGAGCCAACTTATGGGAAGGAGTATCAAAAATACATTGTAAAAAATACATTGTGTAGGTAGGTAAAAAAAATTATATGCATATATATACTATGTATTGACTCCCCTTAATTTTCTGGTATATTTAGTTTTATATATTTTGACACTCATTAACGAAAATTCTGGCTCCGCCACTGCAATGAGTATATGACAGCTCTGCTTGCAGTGTGCTTTGCTTTTGCTCTTTTATAAGCAAATGGAGAAACAATTAAAAGAACAAGAAAAGAGATAGAGCAACACCAAAATATATTTATGTACTTTCCTCGTACCCTAGCACAAAACAATGTGTGAAACAACCAAAAGGACATTATTGTCTTTTGACCTTTTGTGAGGGCAAACGTGAGAGGGGTAGCTTGGTCATCTTGACCTGTACAACGGCTACTTATTTGATGGCCGTTAGATAAAATCATAGTAGTATTATGTGGGAAAAGAACAGAATTCACTGCACGCTCCACTAGAAGTTCTGTAGGCGGCCGCTACCATTTGCCACTCTCTGCTCTTCTTCACTCTTTGAGAGAAAAATCCCAAAAGGCAAAAGAAAAAAGAACCAATTTTTGATCGCCCATTTTCATGATTCGGGTCTTTTTCAACAAAAAATAGGGCTCTTTTCCCATTTCAAGAAAATTCTAGGGCTTCTTCCACCCATTTTTCTTCACCAGAATCATTGGTTTTTGTAAAAGAAAATGGAGAAGTTGAACAACATTTTCAAGAAGAAGACTTCACCCAAAGGTAAGATCTTTCCCCCCTTTTTTTCTAATCCCATTTTCGATATGAATTTTCCTTCAGCTTAGTATAGGGATTTTAGCTTGTTTCTTGTCACCTTTTTTATTGTTTTATTCTTTGATTTGAGTGATGATGTAAGGTGAAAATTTTTAATTGATTATAACAGAAGCATTGAGGACGAGCAAAAGGGAAATGGCTGTTGCTACCAGAGGTACAACATTACTGTCTTGGGCTTCTAGTTTCATTGAGTTTTGTTTGATAAAAGAACAACTTTTGACTATTGAAATTTTGAAGGCAATTTTTTCAAATTTAGAAATAAAAGATGCTAATTCCTGATCCCAACTGCATTGGCTGGCCTTAATAGGGATGCTATATTTGTGGTTAAATTCCTCTTGTTTTGATTTTAGATGTACTTCAAACACTATGCTCTTTACATTAGAACAGTCTAATTCTCCAATGTGTTGAGCAAAAAATGATCGCGCTTGGCAGAAATTTTTATGCCTTTGTTATTGGGAAAGAGAAGCACCTAAGCATATTCAATTTGATTGTCATGACTGTTAGGTATTTCAACAAAAGAAAAGCCATGTAAAGGTTAGATTAAGGTTGTTGTGCCTTTGCAATAAGAATAAAAAGGATGAGTGATTGTTGAAAAGATTCAGTTTTTAGTGAAAGAGGTGAGATATAATACTGGTTGAGAAGGTTCATTAGTTATTAGACTGGGTGAGTGAGATATAATACTGGTTGAGAAAGTTCATTGGTAATTAGACAACCAAAATCATATAATATCTGTTATTATAAATCTGTATGGCAATGGGGCTTCATAGTATGGTATGATATATTAGGAAAAACTGTCAAAATAGTTCTGGGGACTAAACGGTAGTTCAGGTGCATTGCAAATGATAGGCGAGCCCAATGTAATTTACGCTAACAATCTAACCTGCTTTTTCTGGACAGTCATCGGCAGAGTTGGAAGAATTGCTATATTGGCTAAATCTAGATTTACGTATTTCCTTTGCAAGTGACTAGGTATCTCAATGCAACTACTTATAAGTTTTATTGACTCCTTTCATTACTTCATTTTCCTTCTCCATTCAAAAATAAGCAAGGGGGTGGAGAAGCCAAAAGCATTAATACTGTTGAAAAAAAACTGTGTCGAAGATGTCTGTCCCATTTTTGGGTGTCATTCTTATTTTTTACTAAAACCATCAGGGTCAGCTAGTTTGCTAAATGTGGCTGTTGATAAAGTTTTGGGGATATAATCATTATTATGCTATTCTAGTATATTGCACGTCATTGTCATTTGCATAAGCAAGGAGTTGGAGAATGCCAAAAGAATTAAACAATGTTTGGAAAAGAATATCTAGTTGAGAGTGTGTCATAGTCGGATGTCATTCTTATTTTTTCATATATCATTATCAGCTTATTTTGGTAAAGGAGAAGCCAAATCTTATGTTCCATATTATCTTTTGTGTTGTTATAAAATGTTGGAAATTGGAATTTGATAATTGGTATATTTCAAAAATTTGTTTTCACTTGCATTGTCTTCCTCCTTCCTTACTTGGTGCTTTTGTACTTTTCATTAATTCATCTCTTTGTTCATGTATAACTTTAGGCATTGAAAGGGAGATTTCATCTTTACAAATGGAGGTAAGTTACTAGGAAAATGTTCATAGACACAAGGCAAATGTTTGTTCTGTAAGTCAGAGTATTCTTGCAAACTTTAAGGTCAAGAAAAGGTTCAGAGTATTCTTACAATGCTCAATCATTTTCTTCTGCTTAAGTTCTCTACTTATTTGCTAACTTGTGTAATTCTTATTTTCACTATCTTGTAGGAGAAGAAGTTAGTGGCAGAGATCAAGAAAACAGCCAAAACAGGGAACGAGGCAAGTGTTTGTTCATTAAATTTATTTCACCTGACTACGTCGCTTGGAAATTGGAATTGTGATCATCCTTAATGACTTTTAGTGGGTGGTGCTTATTTGCACTAGAAAGTAGAAACTGCATGCCTTTTTGCAGCCTCTTGTTTCTTTTGATAGATACGTGTGGCGAAGGGCATCAACCTGATAGATGTATCAGCCTAGTTAATGAGAATTTACCGAATCATCCAAACATACAAGAGTTAGGATAAAGCCACTGGATAAATCTCTTATTCTACTATGTATGTAAAGTGACCTAACTACCCTAGGTTCGATTGAGCTATGTTTGTCATCTGGTTCCTTCAATGGAATTACAGAAGCGTTGTTTTATTTGACAGCAGTTGATGGGAACGGAAGAGGTGTCTTCTTGTATTGTAAAGTAAAAATAATGTATGAGGGAGGGTGTGAGCCATGTTAGCTAGCTTTCTATCCTAGAATCTCCTTTTTCATATCCAAACTCCAAATTTATTTGTGCCCTCTTTTAAAATTTTAGCTCGATTTGAGCTTGATAAGACTTGAGTTTGAATCAAGACTAATTAAATTCAAGGGTTAGTTATTCGTAAGGACTTCATTCAGTTGCAGCTTTGGTGGTAACATGAACATTATACTACGTGATCCAGGTAGTTCTTTTAATGTAGCATGCTCAACCACTGCGGAATTATTTTGTCAAACTCTTTGTTGAAAAATGAATGGCATTTTTTTTAAAAAGGGATGAGGAAAGAACTAATTCATCCGCCATATGATATTTTTTCTTCCATCAAAAAAGAAAGAACTCATTCATCCACTGTAATCTGCACACTTGCCATTTCTTTTTTCCCAAAGTAAATCTTGCTCACACACTTTGACTTGTCAGGCTGCCACTAAAATTCTAGCTCGTCAGCTTGTGCGACTGCGGCAACAAATTGTAAATCTGCAAGGTAGTCGTGCTCAGATTAGGGGCGTAGCAACTCATACACAGGTTAATTCTTTTTCCAGATTATTACTCCTATTGTTTATGATCAAGCAATTGAGAATTTTAAGTGGATCTTATACGTGGACTCCTTTCTCTTGTGGTAGGCACTGTATGCTAGCACCTCTATGTCTACTGGAATGAAAGGTGCTACTAAAGCAATGACTGCCATGAACAAGGTACTGATTATTTGTTGGTCGTGAGTTCTTTTCCCCTTTTTATCAGAACTTCTTACATCCTTTAGCTCATCCATTTTGTTAGCATTTAGGTTCTGTGGTCCACAAGCTATAGAACCATTATTATCAAGGTTTAATTCCGTCTAATTGGTTTGTTCTTTGTGTGTTTACTTCTCAGCAAATGGCACCTGCAAAACAAGTTAAAGTGATCAGAGAATTCCAGAAGCAGTCGTCACAGTTGGACATGACAGTAAGCACATTTATCCCTCTCAGTGAAGCTTCACATTATTGACTTACTTCATGCTATGAGTTCTCCGTAATTATGGACAAATGCAATTTCTTCAAGGCAACTGGGCAAAATATTTCAGCTTGGTGTGAAGTTCAGCCTATGCATACTGATAAAATTATCTGATTTTTCCAGATTGAGATGATGTCAGAGTCCATTGATGAAACTTTGGATAAAGATGAAGCTGAAGAAGAAACTGAGGAGCTTACAAACCAGGTTCAATTATTCATTATTCATCATGCAGTTTGTCTATTTCCTAATTGTATATTTCTCTGGTCAACTTTTCTAATTTGGATTTTCATTTGTTAGGTGCTGGACGAGATTGGCGTGGACATTGCATCGCAGGTAGGTTGTGGATTAAGAATAGTTGAGCGATCAGTTGTTTTTCTCATCTTTAGTTTGCAAGCTGGTTTATTCATTATTGATTTCTATTTTGGCAGCTATCTTCAGCTCCAAAAGGTCGAATTGCATCGAAGAAAGTTGAAAATGTTGCCCCCCCTAGGTATGTCGAAACTGCTTTTATATTATGTCAGACGTCGATATCTGATACACTTATGTTGGATTGTGTGACTATATTTGTCGAGCTACGTTTCTTCTGCATTTCCATATCAAACTGTCAGAGTCAATTCTCAACTATATAGGCATAGTATTCTTACGTTCCTTTTGTTCTCGGATTATACTCGTGTTGCGTCTGATCATGATGGTTATGTACTGCTTTGTCCAAGTGTTGACTATGAACATTATATTGATGCATGTACTGAGCCAATCTAGAATTAAAACGTTCGTTTTTTAGTTCTTCCTTCTATAATATATTTTTGGCGTGGTCAGAACTTTTGGAATATGAAGTTTATTCAGACGGCTTTTTATCTTCTCCTTGTCAAAGATTTTGTTATGTTCTTGCTGTTTGATTTTGTTGCAATACGAGTTGAATTCTGAACTACTTGGAATTGTTAACAATTCTTCTGTTAAATGCAGTTCTGACTCTGCGGATGTTGAGGAACTTGAGAAGAGGTTGGCCTCTCTTCGAAGAATTTGAGGAAGAACGTGCATATGTTTTTGGTTTCTTCTTTCTTGTATAAATTCTCTTTAGCATAAACATATAGTATGTACTAAATTGTATTTCTCTGACTATTGTTCTCTAGCACTAAACATCAACATTATGAATTAATATCTAGAGGTATAAATGCAGAATGATAATGGATATGTTTTTGGTTTCATAAATCCTTCTACACGTAGTTTTGTAATTCAACATTCATCGAAGTCATTTCTCAGTTAAATCAACTAACAACACTTTTTTTATGTAAAGCTTTACTATGAAAAGCAGAACTTAATTTATTTTTACTTTACAATATACAACATCAAGCCAAAAGCAGTGCTTCAGTGAATCAGACTTTTCCCATCTTTGCCAACTTTGAAGGGTAGGAGGAGAGGACCTATTAAAATATAAGACTTATGTTCAAACTTTCTCATATCAATACAAACTTCCATTACAGGTCATGAAACCAAATGAAAAGCAAAACTTAACTTATTTTTACTTTTACCTGAAATTATACAATACAACATCAAACCAAAAGTAGCGCTTCAGTGAATCAAACTTTTCCCTTCTTTTCCAACTTTGAAAGGAAGGATTGGGAGACTTTGTTCATGCCAAAAGAAGTTATCAGGATCAACCTTAGTCTTCACAAGCACAAGCTTATCATAATTATTCTTGAAATACTTTTTTCCCCAAACACTAGCTTCCAAGAAATTTGAGTTGGCATTTCTGTTCATACCCAAATCAAGATCTCTATAATTCACATAAGCTTCTCTAGGAAACTTGGATGCAAAAGTGCCCATGTAATCATATAGCCCTCTGATCCAGTTGATATGTTTATCTGCAGATTTCTTGTCTCCTTCTGTCCAAGAAGTTAAGTACTGTATCTTGCAAATGACCCCTTTTCTATGTGGGAAAGGAATAGAAGATTCTGATATCTTTCCCATCATTCCTCCATAGGGATTCCATATCATCATAGGTGAATCTTCTTCTAAAAACTTCTTCCACATACCTTCAAGTCCAATTTCTGGAACTGGTACGCGGAGAAAGTCCGATTTAGCCTTGAAGTTTACTGCAGGGAATAATGACTTCCCTTGAAGTAGAAACTCGGGCTTAATGCTACTTGGATATCCTGCAATATAAATGACTGATTCAATCCAGCTCATTTCGACACAATCCTTTGGCGTCAATCCCAATTCAGGGAAGCTATGATTCATCACATGAATAAGCCTATCAGTTTTTCCAAGAAACAATGCTTGGTAAGCTGTTTGCACTGTTTTCTTCCCATTTTTAGTTGAATTGGCTGTAGTTATGAGGATCCTTATGAAGAGATCTTCATCAATCTTATTTGCAACATGTTGCCATTTATTCAGGACTTTTGTTGCACCAGTTTCCAGTGTCTTTGGAACTGTGAAAACTGTCACAGTTGATGGAACAGGAACAAGTCTAATTTTCCAAGCCAAAAGTATACCAAAACTGCCTCCTCCACCTCCTCTAATTGCCCAAAACAAGTCTTCTCCCATTAGTGCCCTATCAAGAACTCTGCCACTAGCATCAACTATCCGAGCATCGACAACATTGTCAGCTCCAAGACCATATTTCCTCATCATAGGACCATAAGCTCCCCCAGTGATATGACCACCTATTCCTAAGCTGGTGCATAGGCCAGCAGGATAACCATGTGTCTTGCTTTTTTCTGCAATCCTATAGTACACTTCACCAATCGTCGCGCCAGCTTGAACCCAAGCACTGTTGTCCTCAATGTCCACTTTGATCGCGCGAAGTTTAGCTAAGTCAAGCAAGATGAAGGGCATTGATCTTTTCATTTCTGATGTATAAGAGATGCCCTCATAATCATGCCCTCCACTCCTAACTCTAAGCTGAAGTTTTAGCTCTTTCGCGCAAATGACTGCTGCTTGTACATTGGATTCACTCAAAGCAGTGAAAATAAGCAGAGGTTTTGGTTGAGAAGGTGTCAAACACCTTAGATTTTGGGCAGTGGATTTAAGGATAGAGTTGAATGAAGTAGCATTGGAAGTAGGGGTGAAGAAAGCTGTGGAGAAAGGGATCGAACGGTCGGAATGAAGAGTAATGCATTGATAGAATTGATCTTGAATTGTATAAGAAACAGCATATGAAGCTAAAAATAGTACTATGAATGAAGAAAGAATAATAGAGATTGATGAAGCCATAAGCCTCTCTAGTTTTCTTGCTTGTTCTGTTGTTAGAAAGTTTGAAGGAGAGAAGACTTATATTTCAACTTTCAATGCCTTAATCTCATGTTTGGACTGTAGGAAAGAGAAAAGAAAACAAATAGAAAATGAGGAGAGGGGAAATTGTGGAGAAAGTCGGGGAGAGGAACAAAGAAAATAAATGCCTTTTGTTTGGGTGGGAAGAGAATGAGGAGTAAAATTAGGTATTCTTTATTTTAAGAAAGACTTTGTTGTGGCTTACTTTCTTTTTTCCATTTTATATACATTTAGACCTATGTATAACAACATTTTTATATAACAAACATTCATTATAAAGGTCAAGTTTTTCTCCTAATCAATTTTATATTATGTTATAATATATGTCCTCTATAATAACACTTCACTATAGCAACCAAAAATTATTTGAGCAAACAAGACTGTTATAGAAAGGTTTGACCGTATATCACGAAAGAAAAAATTTAAGATATTTTGGTTTCCCTTAGCTTCCTTTATCTCCTTTCCAAACTAAGCAAGTTTTGGGTAGGTAACTTAATGGTCAATCACTTTTTAACAAAGTAAAAGTGGAGAATATGTGCAAATAGCTAGGTGTGGTCATGGGAGTCTAGAACTTAAAGACTGCAAAACAAAGTCAACATCAAATAATGCCTTTAATTTTTGCTCAAATTATAGGTTACATGTGGGAACTTGTATTATAAGGGACTTCGAAGTTTATGAAAAAAGACTTCGGAGAAAATGGTTTGCCTTCCAATTGGGTTGAAAGACAATCTTGTCACATTTCTTGCCTTAAAGAATTGCAAAGTCTTGCATTTCTTCCTATCTTTTGTATGATTTTAGTGGGCGTTTGGACATAAAAATTGTAAAATTCCAGAAAAAAAGTGAAATTTTTTTTCAAGTAAAAATGGTATTTAAAAATTGTAAAATTGTGTTTGGGCATTAATATAATTTGGAGTTGTTTTCAAATTTTTTTTAAAGTGATTTGAAGTGAAAATTTTAAAAATGGTTGGCATTATTTCAAGAATCTATATTTTTGCAGTTTAAAAATAATTTATACCATAATGACACATGATGTAAAAAGAATCTCTTTGTTTTTCTTTTTAGGCAAAGTGATAACCCTAAATTATCTTCTAAGTATAAAAGAAAGCCCTAACCGTACACTCAAAGAGTGGCAACTTGGATTCCCAAACTGTGAAAATATTCTTAAATTGTCCTCGCAATTCCAACGGTAAGCCAATTGTGGTTATCTATTTCTATTTATTTGGCTAAAAAAAAGTAAGTTTTACCTTCCATATTTTGTGGTCTGAGTCCATTCCTAGAGACAATAACCTTTCAGTTTTTTGGTTTACTATACTCTCAAAAGCTCTTTCTGTTATTATAATTTTGGGATAAGCATAATCTTACTTATTTCCTTTAAAGTTAAATAGTTATACATTATTTATTCTAACTAGCTATCACTAAGGAGTTAAAGAGTAACATCATATCATATATTTATTTGTCCACACATTTCGTGTGCCAAGAATACATTGTAGTTTCTTAAAACGAGAGAATCGATTTTGTAGTCCTTCACAATTTTTTTTATTTTATATCTTTTTATAAAAGATCTTCATTTTTTATATATAAGAGACCTGAAAATAACACACAGGAGATCTGAAAAAATTATTTTCTTCGATTCAAATTGTAAGTGATTACAAGATCATTTCCTCTCTTAAACCTGAGGACAAATGCATACGCAAAATTATAATTTCAATCACGAAATATTAAGCTTTTCATTAATCATTTGTTGAGAAAAAAAAATCTTATGAAACTAATATCCAATTGACATATAGACTAAGAAGTGACTTTGATAGAAGCTCGTATATACAGTCAGACCTTTTTATAACAATATCCTTATATAACAACACTTCACTATAAAAGCAACATTTTTTCGGAACCAAATGTCATGTTTTGTTATAATGTATGTTTTCTGTAACAGCAATTCGCTATAACATCCAAAAATATACCAAAACAAACGGGGTTGTTATAGAGAGGTTTAGTTGTACATGACAATACATTGAAAAATGTTTCAAATGAAAATTTATGTATCCTTCATCGAGGATCCATTTGACATAAATTTTTAAAATTTTAAAAATCATAATAAAAGTTTAAGAAAATATAATCAAAAGAAAAACTTTTTTTTTTTAAAAAAGAAAAGAAAAAATAGTATGGATGAACTGTTAGATTAGTTAGTGTTTGATGGGAGTATTTGAGAAGAGGTTGTTTTGTCCCTCAATGGAAAAAGAAAGAAAGGAAGAGGTGTTTAAAAGCATTTCTTTGTCTTATATAGTTTGAATATTTTTAAGGGTGTTTTGGAGAGAAATTAAAATTTGACTATATTATTATTAATAGTCAAGATTGGGCACTTGGGCCTATTAAGTTGCTCAGAATTAATAGTTTTAGTCAGCTACTATTTTGTTAAAAACGTTTTTAATTAAAATTCAGAAAACGTTTTTTAACAGCTTTATTTTTTTAATTCAGAAAAAAAGTTACTATTGGTTTTAAAAGGTGCTTGTTATGAAGAGATGGGTCTGTTGGAATTAACAGACTCCTAGAGGTATTATAAATACCATTATCATCTCCAAAACGTAATCATCTGGAAATTTCTATCTCTTTCTCTTCTACTTATTTTCTACAACCCACAAATATTATGTTCTTGTGGAAAATTCGAGTTAATTGATGAAACTCGAATTTTAGAGGCTTTGTAAAATCCTGGAGGAATTCTGCTATTATCCCTGCATGCTGTAACAACTAAATAGGAAGCTTAAATTCTTTAAGGACACTGACTACACTATCGAAGCCAGATTATTTTATCCATTATTTTTCTAACATAAACTATCCAAAGATATATAACCGAAGCAAAAGAAAATAACCAAACAATGAACCATCATTTAAGTAGAAACAACAACAAAATTTAATGAACTACTGCTAATTAAGGGAAGTGG